TTATAGGCGCTTTCCGGTATGGCTTTGAGTTCCCTCTGCGAATTCTGTTTTACGTCTTCTATGGATTCAAAACGCGTTCCTCTGAGTGGTAATTTGAGGTTGGGAAACAGGAAAAAGTCACACGGTGCAAGATCAGGTGAATACGGTGGCTGTTCGATGGTATTTATTGAATGTTTGGCCTTAAAATCGTTGATAATGTTGAACAAATTGAGGTGAATCGGAACAAGCCGGGCGTTGACACGTCGCATACACAAATTGTCCACCAAAATCAAACGAGCCATCTCACGACCGATGCCTAGCTCTCGTGCTATCTCTCTAACACTCACATGAGGATTTTTGAACACGATTTCCTTTGCCTTTTCAATGTTTTCGTCGGTGGTAGAGGTCGAAGGTCGTCCAGAACGCGGCATGTCTTCGACGGTCGTACGACAGTCCTGAAAGGCTTTGTACCACTCATAAACTTGAGTTTTCGATAAAACTGATTCCCCATAAGCCTTTTGTAGCATTCGCAACGATTCTGCACACGAAATTTCGTTCGAAAAACAAAATTTGATGCAAACTCTTTGTTCAATATTTTTTTCCATTGTTTTTTTCGCAACGCACTACTGAGGTGAACTGGTTTCAACAGCTGCCGTAAACGAACTGTCCGACAGATCGCGCTCATTTTTGGCATAGTAATTAAGGACAGTGCTGCCAAACTACATAAACTTAAAATATCGAAAAATATACAGCGCGCGAATTTTAAATGAGAACTTCCGAAAACCTTTCGGTCACAATGTATGTTATTTCATTTTAGTAGAAGTTTTTAGATAGTTTGATGAACCACGAAAAAAGTTTAAAGCTCTAGCTGACTGTAGGAATACGTAGCTTATAGGTTCTGGACCGGAAAACCACTATACCATTTTACTAAATAAGGCAATGCTTTTTAAATTTTTTAAAACTTATATTTTAAAATATTTAAAATAGATCCACTTTTGGTAATATCTGCCACTATTTGGAGCCAGATTTTGACGAAATTCACTGTTTTGAGCAACTTTTCCCATTGCTTTCTAGCGAAATATAACGTAGTGAAAAACATTCCTAAATTTTACCAAAATACGTTGTCAAATGAATGAGTAATTTTATCGAAGAAAGTGAAGTAAATGATAGTAGTGATAATAGTAGTGATAATTACCATTTTTAAGCTAAGATAAACGCAATCAAAAAAGCAGCCAGATTGATACAAGTAAGTACTATTAGAATTAATTGTCGTTGTAGTCAGATTGAAATGTCTAATTAAAACCACAAGAATTATGTTACATCGAGGATTGTAATAAAATGCACCTCTGACTAAAGAAAACTAAGTACCACAAGATTTTTCTGTGTTGGTTTCCTAGACATAGAGATATCGCAGGGAACGAACTAGTAGATGAGAGGTTTCGAAGTGGACCTTATAACACCTTGATGTGTAAACTTTTTAGGAACGCAGAGAATTCAACATTACAATGACAAAAATATTATGGACTAATCGCTTAGACCATGAACTCAACTGGGACACTACGGCCAAGGTTAGTTATGAGAACAACAAAGTATCTTCTAGATTTAAACAAAACTGCACTTTGAATACTTACTGCAGTATTAACAGGGTACTGCGTTTTGCATTAATGTTAAAATGATGACAACTAGCACCGATTCTCTATGTTTTTGCCCAGGACTACAGACAAAGCGACTCCATTGTTTAGAAGACCGCTTGACAGTCGACGGCTTGACAGTGTTAGCGAAAATAAACTTTTTTGATCTCTCAAACTTCAACTGAAAAATGAAATAGTTTAACAAGAATAACATGTGGGGAGATTTTGGAGACAATGGTTAATATAACTCGTTTTCTCTTGGAATTTTTAAAGGCGTTAGAATGGGGAAGTTTGAGTGTTTGCATCAACACGTGTCTTTTAAACCTTATCTAACTACCTACAAATAATTATCTGAGGGCTGTATGTGAATAAATTAAGATTTGCTCTGAAATTATTTACGAAAATTGATAGGCTTACCAACATGCAGATCTGAGGTCAATTATTGTTTAGTCCGATGAAATTATAAACAATAATCCAGTCAAGGGGTAGAGTGGGGTTATGAAAAAACCTCTCAGTTAATAGAGCGTAAAAGTGCTGAAGTACACTGACTCAACTATCCTCAACATAATAATAATAATAATATATTTTTCTTTTTTATTTTAGTTAATCATTTTATAAAAACTGCTGATTTTAGATATAAAAATGAAGACTATGATTAATGGTTATAAAAACATATTTCAATTTATTTATTTTTTTTTTAATTATCATAAACTTATGATAATGGAAATGAAAAATGACATATTAAAGCACACATTTATTGCACTAAAAACACCTGTTTTACGTCACGAATGTGGAACAAAAGGTATGCATTAGTTGCAGTGATTCATTTCCAGAGAAATATATCGGAGTAAAAAAATTATTAAAGAAAAAAAGAAAAAAAAACATTAAAATGTATCTAGAAAATGTGGACAGTTACATTTAAAAGTTAAAAAACGAGTAAAATATGTAAAACGGCGATGACGAACGATACTTTATTTCAGTGTAGATATCAGAAGTGCAAAAACACTGTACACACAACCGAACTGCATTTATGTACGTGAAAAAAGTTAGTAGTATATAAAAACCGGTAATGACCGAATGATAGAAATAGTTTTAAGCGGAGCGGTGTGGTTGGTGTGAGTGGAGAAGAATGAAGTGTAGATTTTCAATGTGAACTCGGCTCATGCTCACGACGAACCTTCTAACACGGCGTAAAAGAGATGTGCGTGAATTTAGACCGGCACAACACATTAAGCGGGTGGTTGGGTAACGACTTTAGATGGAGATGGAGATGGAGACATATTTGTTTAGTTGATGAGTAAATAAGTTTTGTTGTTGCTTTATATATATAGTGTATTGTATAACAATCTAAAAGCAAAAACAAAATAAAAAAGTAGTAGTTTTTTAATGTATCGGTAAAAATAGTTTAATAGTAAAATGAGTATGTATGTATATCGTATATCGATAAAAAAATTCTCTAACTGAAAAAAAAAGAAAGCAAAAGCAAAAGCAATTTTATTTTATAATTAATTTCTTTTTCAGTTTTAAATGAGTTAGAAATTACAGTTCCATTAGTGCTGATAGCACTGATATCACTGATGATACTGATTTAATTTTATATATACATACATACATATATACATTTGTTATACACTTCAAAGACATGTGCAGAATTAAGTTGAAGGACCTGATTAATGTACGCTGAATGCTACATTGCTGATTGATGCCTCTGCATACTCTGTTTGGAAAGCACGTCCAATGGTAAAAACTGTTTCACAGATTTATATGCAAATAAAATAGAGTATATGAATGTGCATATAAATATGTATTTACTTTATAGCCACACAATAAACAATATTAACCATACTCGTACATACATATACACAAATATATTGAGATACTTTATGGCATAACGATTTTCACAACCAACGACGAGGTTATAGTCGACAGACATGGGACACATACATATAATGTAACTTCGAGTAACACATATGGGGTGCACAGCACAAACTTTAATAATAAAAATCGACAAGTGAATGTATTTCGTATGTATGTTTGTGTAATGAACGGAGTTAGATTTCCAACAAAATTTTGTAGTTAATTAAAATTTGAAGTCATCAAAATGGTTTGATAGAATTAGAAGATATTTTACAATAGTGCATTAAGTTTGTAGCAATAAAATATTGAAGTTTTAATGAATTTTCAAATTTTATTTAATAAGATAAAATTTTTTTTAATTAATTGTTCAATTTCATTTTTTATTATTAGCACAAACATCGTTGTAAATGTGTCAGTAGGTATTGAGATGAAAGGAATACAAAATTATGTGTGTTATTTGAGCAGAGAGAGATGGAGAGACTGCAGGTGTATACACTTAATTGTGTTCAAAAAGTTTTATGTGAATGAAAGAAACTGAAAAACATTGTTAAGGGGTTTTTTTTTATACTATAATGAGGAGTACTGTTTCTAATTGCCTCCCTCTTCAATATCGTCAACTCCAATACTATCTGCAATACCAATTCTACTCAATCCTAATTGTAATCTTACAACACAATAGTACTCATAATAACATTTGTAGTAATAACAATAATAAAAGTAGTGGTCAGTAAATAGTAATGGTGTTGTTGTTGTAGTCCACGAGTGGTACCGGTCATTCTTGGAATCGATAAATAGTAATAGTAAATATTGGTGTTGGTGTTGTCACTTTGGACTGTGATTATGTTACTCCGTTACCAAGTTTATTACTCGGGATCATGAATACCTTTCATAAATTATACTTAAAAATATTATAAATTATAAATTATGTGGTTGATAAAGTGAATTATTTTTATAATTCACTTTTATATAAATAAAGAGGTCTAAATTTAGTCCGCCAGGTTCAATAGTTCTTAGAGTTTTACATATTATATATTGTATTATCTCTAGTTTTCACGAATGCCTTAAAATAGCCTTTATTCACAAAATTTTGTCTTGTACAAATACGGCTTATTCACTTTAAAACTATATCCACTAATTTTTTGAAACCAAAAAAGCTTAGAAGCCAAAGTTTTTTGATTGATCTACACATATCAACAAAAAGGGTTGATTTGTCTTTTTTTATATCACCAAATTAAATTTATTTCAGTAGCGAAGTATACATATCCCTTCACTTTACTCGTGCATACAATAAGCAGTCCAAACTTTCTTTACAAAAAAAA